ACATGAAAGAAAAGAAATGACAATGAAGGTTCCTGGGATGTATGACATCATTTTAGCCTAGACCAAAAACCAGAAAGCCACTGAAGAAATGTAAAAAAAAGGTTGATCATTTCCTGCCTGGCCAGTGTAGATAAATGGCCAGGCAGGTGTTCTGGTATTCCTGGAGGACATAAGGGTACGTTCTCCCATTCGCCAATCCTCAATACAGGGTTGCTGTGATTGGCTCAGGTACCATGTGATTACAACAATCACATGATCACAAGCCAACTGTCATGAATGGCATCCTTTCATGACAGCATTGCTTACTATTGTGATTTTTGTGACTGGTCACAGTACAGGGCCAATCACAGCAGCCCTGTACCATGAGATAGCTGTAGCCAATCACATCAATCACATAGTAAACAATGAGTCTTGAATGAAAGGCAATTATGACAGAATTGATTTTACAGTGATCATCCTTGTAATAAGCAATCATAGTGTAAAAAAAAAAGATTCCCGATCACCTTCCCAAAATAATACACTGTCACTATGGTGACACTGCACAACTATGGTATGTAAAAAAAAAATGCAAAAAAATTACTGTCACCAGTCTTTGTCTCTAATCATTGCCACACACTCACAGTGTCCCTAATCACCACTGCACCACTTACAGTGCCCCTGATCACTGCCACACCAGTTATAATGTCCCTAATCACTGCCATCACAGTTACATTGTCCCTGATTACTACCACACCAGTTACAGTGTCCATGATCACTGCCACACCAGTCATATGGACACCACCATGCCAGTTACAGTGTCTCTGATCACTGCCACACCAGTTACAGCGTTCCTAATCCCTGCCAACCCAGTTACGGTGTCCCTGATTACTGCCATACAATTACAGTGTCCCTGATCAACGCCACACCAGTTACAAGGGCTTGTTTACATGTATACATGATCTCTGAAGAGTCATCCATGTTCAGATCACCCTTTAGACAGCATTTGACAGGTAGTGAGGAGGCATTGTATCATCTTCTCACCATCTACTTTAACCCTTTGAATCCCACAAAAGCAACCCCGTTCACTGGAATGGGTCAAGATCAGGAGGAATACAGGGGGTATTATTATTATTATTATTATACAGTATTTATAAAGCGCCAATAGTTCACTCAGCGCTGTACATTACAGTATTTAATTCCTTCCACAGCTGTAAAGCAAAGTACAGCCACAGCAGGTGTACGCTTCCAGCCGGCGCCTCTGCAGCTAAATGGGGTTGCGGCTGGTGGTGGTCAAACCGCAGCTCAACTGCAAGGTTTACCACCCCCCAACCTGAGATATGAATCAACCCTAATAGTGCAACCAGTTACTATTTTCCAAGCACCAGCACACCAGTCATAGTCTCATCAGACCAGAGAACCTAGAAATGGTGTTCCTGATTTGTCTGTTTATTGACCACATTTCTGCCTATTGCCTGGAGCGATCCTATGCTGACCATGTCTCTGTGCCTGAACTGACCCATCTGCATATTCCACTGACTGTGTTCCTACAAAACACCAGTCCCTGCCATCCCCAGTGGACAGCTGCACTCCTTAAACTAGGAACTCTTTTATTCTTCCTTTCGTCAGCCTCCTGTTCGTCCTGGCCAGTGAACATGGCATTCTTGGGGGCAGCCATATACCAGTAGGCTAGGCTTGCTTGGCATATAGGAACTGAGACTGCTATAGGTGACGCTACACTAAGGTCATTCCTTGACCACTCGTATAGAAGCGACCAAAACAGTACATTGTTTATTATACAATTAGTTGATTTGTGTGATACACAAGATACAATATCTGGTAAATAATCAGTCCAGGCACAGAAAAAGTCTCACACATGGTATTGCTATACTCAGAAGTAGCAGAATGTATTTTGGGCTGTAATTCTAAGTATGCCAAAACTGTATGTGAGAAACATCTGATTGAATTGGCAACTTTGTATAAAAAAATTAACTTTCATTTTCATTCGGCATTGTCGCAAAAAATGAAGTCTTCCAAAGACTCAGCATGCCTCTTAAAAAGTACCTTGGGTGTTTACTCTCCAAAATCTGGTCATTTTATGGATGTTTCTACTGTCCAGGTGCTCCAGGGCTTTCAGATACATAATTAGATACATAATTTTCTGTATGTCCCTAGAAAGCCTGAAGAACCCATATGTGTAGCTAGACTGTTAAAAAGTCTCACACATATGGTTTCTCCATACTTGGCAGGCATAGCAGAATGTGTTTTGGGGTGTAATTCATAGTATGCCTATGATGTGTGTTAGAAATATCTTATTCATTGACAACTTTGTAAAAAAAAAAAAAAAAATTTTCATCTTCTTTCTGGCATTTTCCAAAAACTCGTGGCAAAAGATGACATTTTTCAAAAAACTCATTATGCTTTTTAGAACATACTTTGGAGTGTTTTGATTTTTGAAATTGGGTAATTTTGTGGGTGCTGCCACTGTCCTGGTGCTCCAGGGCCTCCAAAAATGTGATAAGTAGTCAGGAAAATACTTGTGGAATTTATTTGTAATTTATGCTCCTTGAAAACCCACAGGTGCTCATTGGATTTTGGGCCCCTATATGCATCTAGGCAGTGAAAAAGTCTCACACGTAATGTATAGAAAAAGTGGTGTTCCTTTAAAAATCAATAAATCAAAAATGCACAGAGAGTGCTAATCTCAAAAATAACATAAGATTAATGTTTGCAACCAATTGTGATAACCATACAACATATGAAAAATACAAGTCTATTCAACACAGTATACTATGATTTTTGATTCCAAATGCTAATTCACTTGCAAGTGTCCACATAATGTGATCAGTCATCCAAACACAACATAAACATTCTTGTATAAGTGCTCCAAATCCCAGTGCTACAAATATCCACCTCTAAGTGCAGTGCCTGCTTACCTTAATATTAGACCTAAAAGAAATAGGTCATACAGCGCTTAGGTGAGTATCCTTCTGCGGATCAGCCTCTGGCTCTTTGCAGGCACTTCCACATGTGGTCCATTTAAGAGACCTCACCTTGCTGGTTCCAATGTGAATCAAGCTTAAAAGAAATTATAGCACACCCAATGTATTGAATAAAAAACTATTTATTCTGCTACATATGTACTCACAATGGTATAATAAAATACAACATTGAATCTAACTGAGACATGGAGTTTTCTCACCAAACTTCCGAAAAGCACGCCAGGAAATTACATCACTGTCTCCGCCTTACTAGTTGCATCAATAATCATGTGACTTCTTCAGGGTATCCCAATAGGCATAGCAGAATGTGTTTTGGGGTGTAATTATAAATATGCCTATGGTATGCATGAGATATAACTTGTGGCAACTTTGTGAAAAAAAAATTAATTTCTTCATTTTCCAAAACAATTATGACAAAACAGAAAACTCTGAAAAACTCATCACACTTCTTATGCTCCTTTCACACGGTCGTACCTTCTGTCCGTACTTCAGCCATCCATTGACGCATGAAAAACGGACAGCAATGTATTTCTATGGACCAATGGATTAAATGGATAATCGCCCGTTTATCATTCGTTTAGATCAGCATCCGTTCCGGTCTGTTTTTGTAAACAGACAAAGGTACGCCCAGATCTGCTGGAATGGAACAGATGTAAATGGATGGCATCCGTTTACATCGGTTTCATTTATGTCCGTATTTAGGCAAGAAAATGTTTTATTTATACTTTTGTCACCTCTGATTAGTCTCTGCAACAAGTAAAACAGATGCAAAAAGGGATGTAGACTGAACTGATATAAACTGATGTAAGCTGAACTGAAATAAATGGAAGTGAAAACTGAGATAAATTGAACCAAACTGAAAACTGAGATAAACTGAATCCATTTTTTCTTTGAAAAAACATGACCGAACGGATGATGCCTGTGTGACCTTACTAAATACCTTGGACTGTCTACTTTTCCAAAAAAATGGGTCATTTGTATTTGTACTGTCTTGGCATTTTAGAGCATCAAGAAACAAAATAGGCAGTCAGTACATTAGGATTGAACAATTTTCATATATACATACCATCGTTTGTAGACTATAACCAAAAAAATGTAGAAAACTAAATTCTGGCCCAGATTTATGAAGAATGGTTATTTATTTTCAAAATTTTACTAATCAAGGAAAAACATGTTTTTTTTTCAAAATGTTTGCAATTGCTTGTATATATAGCAAAAAATAAAAAACCTACCAAAAGAAAGCTCTATCTGTCTCAAAAAGATGATAACAATTTCATTTGGGTACATTATCACATGACTGAGTAATTATCAATTAAAGTGTGACAACACTGAAAGCTTAAAAATGGCCTGGGCAGGAGGGGGGTGAAAGTGTCTGGTATTGAAGTGGTTAAAACAAGAAAATATAATATACCTTCCTATCTGTGTACTAATGATAACAGTTTAAGTATTAAAATAATTCATGTTGACTTAAAGAGTTTAGTTTTGGTTTAATTCTTAAGAGTCATATTTACAGAGATCATACACATCTGGATTCATTCTATTCGGATACTTCAATATTGTAGTGGACAAAATGTACAAAATACAATTAGACAAGTCTTTTTACACTTAGTGCTAAATATACAGGGAGGTATATATAAATACTTATGTGGCCAAATTAACTAAATTCTGATTGCTACATTCAGGACCGGTGCTTCCACTAGGCAAACTAGGCAGCTGCGTAGGGGTGCCTGGGCGCAGCTCAGGCCAGCACTCTCTCTGTGTGGGATGCCACCACGTCATGAAAGATCCTTCAACTGAGGGGAGGGGTGGCAGAGGGGAGGAAGAAAGGACAGAGGAAGAGGAAGGGTGTCTGGGGCCAGTGTAGCAGCTGAGCTGCAGCTCCTTCCAATGTTCCTCTCAGACGTAGCCCCTTACTGCAAGCTGGCTGGCTGCTACTGATCATTGTGGAGTTTCCATTCATCAGCAGAGGCAGATCTGTGCCTGCAGAGAAAGGTAATGTCTGACTCTGATGTCTCAAGTCTGTGTGAGTGTGACCTGGCTGGCCATCTATCACATGTGCAATGTGTCAGTGCAATGGGCCTGCTGATCTGTGTCAGTTTTGGAGGTGGTGTGTTGTGTCAGATCTGTCACTGTGTAGGATCGTTTTGTTCAGATGTAGTGTGTGTGTGTTGCCTACTGTCACAGCATTTTATCTCCCCCCATTACATGGGGAATTCCAGCCTGGGATTTGTCAGAGTGTGGATCCATCATCCTCCACTCACTGCAACCGTCACCCTGCCATTGCCAGCCACAGATACAGTCTGTCCATGACACTGATTTTGTCTTTAATATTGGTGGTGCTTATGGTACTTATTTTTGCACATTAAAAGAAATTTACCAGTTTCATGTTTTATTGATTTAATATTTTCTACTGTTTTTTTAATTTTTTTAAATTATTTTAAGGGGGGGAGGGAGGTGCAAGTAGCTGGTCTTGCCTAGGGTGCAAAATAGTCTAGCATTGGCCCTGGCTACATTTCCTAATGGTTAAAGGCATAGTAATCCGTGGCCTTTGAAAAAAAAAAAACCCTGCAAGACAATGGCATAATGTGCAAGTATGCATGGCATACTAGCACATTATGGAGTACTTACCTTAGAACGAAACCCTCCAGTGGCACGCTGTCACCCCTGACAGGGTATCCACCTTTACCCGGTCTTCCTTCCGGTTTGTGTGCTCCGGCCGTCTGACTGGCTGAGCCGCTGTGACGTCACGGATCTCTGAAAAGACGGCACAGGTATGCCATCCCTTCAGAGCACATGCACTGGTGACGTCACCGGCTGCATGCATTGTGAACATCTACACGGTGCAAGTTTAGAAGATAGTCACCAGGGGCGGACTGACAACTCATGGGCCCCCGGGCAATAGGGGATCATGGGGCCCCTGTGTCCTTGCCCAAACTCAAAAAAGCCTATGAAAAAGGTACCAGGGGCATCTCATGGGGCCCCCTACTGACCCCTCAGGCAGTGCCAGAGTTTCCAAATGGTCAGTCCGCCCCTGATAGTCACTGTACCTACAGCTAAGCTTTATTATAGGCTTACCTGTAGGTACAAGTTAAAAAAAAGACTTTACTTCCACTTTAATACTTAGCCTCCTAATAATTCACAGGGCACTAAAATTCTCACATGATAATTTTATGCATAAACTCACAGCCCTCAGCCAACAATAGTTTGATTTTATCAGCCCCTTACTTGCTGTACTGTTTAGATAATGTAGATTTTAGTGACAAGAAGGAAACATTCAAGAAACCCAACCCCTGTTCACCCTCCCTCTAACCCTCATATAGAAACATTCCGGCACTGCTTGATTAGTATCACATACCTGGAGCTACAGGAATCAGAGGGCTGTGCACAAGGCAGAACCAGTTTAGCAAGAGCTGCTTGGTGAAACATGCTATTTACCCATTAGGAGAGAGGGGCAGATCTTGCGTATTTTTCTTTCAGGTATTGCTGTCTTTGTGGTTTAGTTTTTATCTTTGAGGAATGTAAACGTGTCAGTGTGTGTGACATTTGCTACATTACTCATTTGCAAAAAAAATTCAGTTAGTACAATGATGTACCTAAGTGCAAGGAAGGTCAAATTCTAACAGGTAATACTGACCTCTGCTGGGAGACATCAGCCCCTTTTGTTAGCTCCCTGGTTTTTCTTTCTTTTTTTTTAAACAGAATAAGTAATCCGCCGAACAATCAAACAGGGAGTAACAGTAAGCGGTTTACTAAACAAGGGCAACGTTAGAAGCAATAATGCAAAACAGGCTCAAGATGGCAAAAACATGCATACACTACAGAATAATGAATGGGGCAGCATTGTGGCTAAAGGGTTAGCACTTCCGCCTGGCAGTACTAGGGTCCTTGGTTTGAATCCCAGCCACGGTACCACCTGCCTGGAGTTTGCATGTTCTCCCTGTGCCTGCGTGGGTTTCCTCCCACACTCCAAAACATGCTGGTAGGTTAATTGGATCCTGTCTAAATTGCCCTAATATGTGTATGAATGTAAGTTAGGGACCTTAGATTGTATACCCCTTGAGGGTTAGGGACTGATGTGAATGTACAATATATATATGTAAAGCATTGCATAAAATACTGGCAAAGAGCATGCATACAATGCAAAATCTGATTATGAAACCTGCAGAAACAGACTCTTCATAGCAATGACTATAATGCCCAGTCAGAGTAACATGGCTGCAAAGCATAGTCTCTATAGGACTATAATAACAGAGAGTTAATCTGAGCATCCCATCTTCAGTAAAACACCAAGGTAGCTTTGGTAACACAGGTGAACTGCTGGAGGGATCCAAGACCCAGGGACAGCAACTGCAGTGCTCTGGTAGCAACCAGAGAGTCCCCAAAGTAGCTGGGTCTTCCAAAGAAGCTGGATGCTTTTAGGCTCCGTCCAGCCCACCACGCCAGTTCTATTGGAGGGTCTCTCACCTGGCTGCAGATCATTTACCTACCTGCATCTGCCTCATCAAGTGTGACCTCTCTTAGCTGCTTAATGGTGAAAATTGAGGAATTGATACTCTATGGGCTTGTCTAGGAACCCATGAAATTGTGGGGAATGGAGTTAAAGGGGCCTTCATTACATATTTTAGTATAAGTATAATGAGTGCAGGTATCTATATAGTGGTGGGAATTTATGTAGTGCTTTACATACACGTGTAGATTGTGCATTTTTATTTATTTATTACAGGTACTTATATAGCGCCATCAATTTTACACAGCGCTTTACATATATATTGTACATTCACATCAGTCCCTAACCCTCAAGGGGTGTACAATCTAAGGTCCCTAACTTACATTCATACACATACTAGCACCAATTTAGACAGGATCCAATTCACCTCCCAGCATGTCTTTGGAGTGTGGGAGGAAACTGGAGTACCCAGAGGAAAACCACGCATGCACAGGGAGAACATGCAAACTCCTGGCAGGTGCTGCCATGGTTGGGATTAACATCTATCCCTGCCCTCAAGGAGCTTACAGTCTAAGGTCCCTCCCTCATATACGTACTGTACATACACATAATAGGGCCAATTTAGAAAGAAGATAGTTAACCAACCAGCATGTCTTTGGAGTGTAGGAGGAAACCGCAGTACCCAGAGGAAACCCACACAGGCACAGGGAGAACATGCAAACTCCTGGTAGGTGGTGCCATGATTTAGAGTCACATCTATCCCAGCCCTCAATGAGCTTACAGTCTAAGGTCCCTACCTCATATACATAATGTACATACACATAATAGGGCCAATTTAGAAAGGAGTTAACCAACCAGCATGTCTTTGGAGTACAGGAGGAAACCGCAGTACCCAGCGGAAACCCACGCAAGCACAGGGAGAACATACAAACCTCATGTAGTTTCCTGACTGGGAGTTGAGGACCCTGTTCTGCCCAAAAATTCTAGTATTACATCATTAGCTTTCTTGTATAGACTTCTAGTACCATCAATTCACATGTAATGGGGATGAACAAAGGCAGACATATTTAAAGTCTAGCCTGTGTGACAACCATTGTTTTTTTCCGTAGAAACAGCAGCCAAATGAGTGTAAGGGCTCATGCACACTGGACATTTATACAGCTGCTGTTTTTGGCTTTTGGTATTTTTTTTCTACAGCTAGTACACTCCGCAGTATGTTATCTTATGTGTTCATGCACACATAGCCTTTAACCACTTTCCTACCGGGCACATATACCCTCTTCGTGCCCAGGCCAATTTTCAGCTTTCAGTGCTGTTTCAATTTGAATGACAATTGCGCGGTCATGCAGCTCTGTACCCACATGAAATTTGTGTCATTTTTCTCACACAAATAGAGCTTTCTTTTGGTGGTATTTAATCGCAGCTGGGTGTTTTATTTTTTTGCGCTATAAAAAAAAAGAGCAAAACATTTGAAAAAAAAAAGTTTTTCTTTGTGTCTATTATAACATTTTGCAAACAGGTTATTTTCTCCTTCACTGATGTGCGTTGATGAGGTTGCACTGATAGGCAGCACTGATGGGCACTGATAGGCAGCACTGATGGGCACTGATGAGGTGGCAAGGATAGCCAGCACTAATAGGTGGCACTGATAATGCTGCACTGATAGGCACCACTGATGCTGCTGCACTGATATGCAGCAATGATGGGCACTGATAGGTGGCACTGATGGGCAGCACTGACTGGCGGCGCTGATGGGCACTGATAGGTAGCACTGATGGGTGGCACTGATGGGCACAGGTGGGTGGCACTACTGCGCACAGATGGGTGGCACTGCTGGGCACATGTGGGTGGCACTGGGCACATGGGGTGGCACATGTGGTGGGTGGCACTGATGGGGCACATGCGGGTGGCACTAATCATCAGGGCACTGATCATCAGTGTCCTGATGATCAGTGCCGATCTGTTCTATGACAATTGCTGGTTATCGGCAGCACTTTCCTCAAGCTGTGTCTGTATTTTACCCAGTGATCTGCTGTGTCATTGGACACAGCTGATCACGTGGTAAAAGGCCGCTGTGATTGGCCGTTTACCACATCACGTGATCAGCTGTGTCCACTGGGGGTGCGTGGGAGGACGTCATATGACGCCCTCCCAGAACTGGACAACTGCGCTGTAGCCGTCATTTGTTGCCAAGTGGTTAATCAGCTTTTTTGGCAGGGGCATTTTCTGGCTGGAGAAAAAACACAGAAGTAGTGGGTTTCAAGAGGAGTTTTTTTAGCTGTAAAAATGTTCTAACGCTGGTAAATGTGGCAAAAAGAGACAAACTGGTGTTTTTGAGGTTTTTTTTTTTTTAATGCTAAAAACTGCTAACACAGAAAATTGCTTCGAATCACTAATGCAAAAACACTAAAAAAAGGGAAAAACTAGTATTTTTAATGCAACTTTATACAACTAACGCTACCATGTGCATGAAGCCTTAACATAAAGGGACAGGAAGTGTGTTATTCACAGGATTACCAGGTGAAAATAAAGGAAAAAGGCTTAAAAATGAAAACTAATACAGCCAATACATACTGGGACTGGTAATCAGCAATAACATCAATTATGGCTTTTGAGTTTAGATTTGATTTGAACGCGTGTGTATAAAAAGTATACTCTGTAAACATCTGTGTAATATATCAGCACATAAAAGAATGAAAAAGGAAATATGCTTATCAGTAGATCTATAGCACAAATGTTTATTTTATTCATTACAGGTACTTAGCACTGTCAATTTACGCATCACTTTACATACAGTATATATATATATATATATTGTACATTCACATCAGTCCCTAACCCTCAAGGGGCTTACAGTTTAAGGTCCCTAACTCACATTTATGCATACACATACTAGGGCCAATTTACCTACCAGCATGTCTTTGGAGTGTAGGAGGAAACCTGCACAGGCACAGGGAGAACATGCAAACTGCAGGCAGGTGGAGCCGTGGTTGGGTTTCAAACCAACGACCCTAGTACTGCCAGGTGGACGTGCTAACCATTTAGCCATTGTGCTGCCCACAAATAAAAATATCCATTGATGCTGTTGTGATGTATAATAAATTGTTTTTGTGTAAATTACCTGTGTGTCAACTGAGGCCTTTTTTTCTATGTATTTCCTTCATATGTCATTGTTTTCTTTGGTATTTCTTAGGCCTCATGCTCCCAGGGCGTCTATTTAGACCCACTGAATGTCTTTTCTCCTGGCAGGAGAAAAGCTGCTATAACATATAAGTGTCAAGCATTTGATTGTTAATGGGTTCCAATGGCCAGACTATTAATTCATTCTGGCCATTGAAATACATCAACCCGCATAAAAGAGTTTACACACGCTTAGGCACGTTGCACATTTTTTGTGCTCTTCAACTCCTCTCCTAATAATTAGATTTATTTTTCTGCATATTAACGTTCCTCTCCTAAAAAGCCTGTAAACGCCTATGAGTGCATGGACATATAGGCTCACAAAGGCCATCCTCCCTCATTCCTCCTACCACTTCATCCCCCCCAGCCACTTCCTACTGTACCTTTACCCCCTCCCTCCTAGATTGTAAGCTCGTAAGAGTAGGGCCCTCTTACCCCTCGTACGCTGTCTGTCTTTGTTGTACTGTGCCATGTATTGTCCCCCCCTATTGTACAGCGCGAGAGCAAACCCTTTGGCGCTATATAAACTCGTAGTAATAATAATAATAATAACAAAGAGGTGCTTTTACAGGCTGAAAATAAAAACAACAAGCACCTGTAGAAGCAGCGTTTTTTAAGCCCACTCTGCATGAGACCTCATATTGCATGGAATACTGTCTGCGGCTTTTAATATTTATTTCAGATACTTATATAGTGCTGTCAATTTACACAGCGCTTTACACATATATATAGTACATTCACATCAGTCCCTAACCCTCAAGGGGCATACAATCTAAGGTCCCTAACTCACATTCATATACAAGTGCCAATTTAGGCAGGATCCAATTAACCTACCAGCATGTCTTTGGAGTGTGGGAGGAAACTGGAGTACCCAGAGGAAACCCACGCAGGCACAGGGAGAACATGCAAACTCCAGGCAAGAGGTGCCGTGGCTGGGATTCAAGCCAACGACCCTAGTACTGTCAGGCTGAAGTGCTAACCATTTAGCCACTGTGCTGCTCATATGTGAACAAAGGGAACATACAGTATATTATAATGTCTATTTAAAGCAAACCTTACCCTACATCAGTATTTGATCTCTACATAATGCACACTGATGTGAAATTATCTAACATCGATTTAAGAAAAAACTTTTTTTTTTTTTTTTACTTTTTCTTGGATCGATTTCCTGGTTCCAATGAGGGCCCCTAGGCTCTTTCACACATGCGATGCAGTTGCACTGTCATGCAGCCTGGAGGAGACATGAATGATGTGTCACTTCACATAAAGGTAAAGGAAACTGTGTGATGTGCTAAAGCAGTCTTCTCACTGCCCCTGCCACACTTTACTGCAGGCTCACACTGACAGCCGACACTTTTTAAGGCTGGTTTCACTCTGAACCTAGCAAAAACATGGCAAAAACGCATGTGTGCTTTTACAGTGTTTGCCACATTTTTACCCCATTTGCAGTGCGTTTTTATGGGACATGTGAAAAGTGTGTTTTTGATGCATTTTTGCCATATTTTCCATTGATTTCAATGGGGAGGTGCATTTTTTTGCCTGACCAAACCTGCACCAAAAATGCAGCAAGCAGGATTTTAAAAAATGCACCTGACCTGCAACGGATCAGTGTGAAGAGTTTCATAGGAATACATGGCCACGTGTTTTTTTTCCACTTTTTAAATGCAAAAATGGAAGAAAAATGGATCAGTGTGAAACCAACCTAAAACAGAGAGTTTAGCTCACAGGCAGTATGAATGGGCACCCATACGTAAGCTGCAAGATCTTGCAGTATTTTTGCAGTATTCTCATACTCGATTTCATGTCACACAGGCACTTTACAGCAGTAAATGCTTTAAAAAAAAATGTTCTTAATGAAAGGCTTTTTTTGTTTTAAACGAATGAGTTTAACGTGGTGCAGCGCATACGCAAGACAGGGTGCATGATGTCACGCACTCCATCTTGCATGTGCACAGGAGGACATACAATTTTAAAATGGCAAAGCTGGAGCAGGGACATCGGCTGCAGCCTGAAAAGAGAACCACAAGAAATAAAGGTAGCATGGACTATGTATTTATGTCTAATCTATTACATTTTCTTATGGGGAGGGAGCGGCGAAAGTTAACCTCTTGAATACCAGGCACTTTCACCCCCTTCCTACCCAGGCCAATTATCAGCTTTCAGAGCTGTCATAATTTGAATGGCAATTGTACAGTCATGCAACAGTGTGCCCATATTACTTTTTTATCCTTTTTTCACACAAATAGAGCTTTCTTTTGGTGTTATTTAATCACTGCTGGGTTTTTAACTTTTTGCTAAATAAACGTAAAAAAAATGAAAATTTTGAAAAAAAAAAAACAATTTTTTTTGGTGTCTGCTATAAAATTTTGCAAATAAATTATTTTTCTTTATAAACTTAGGCCAGAATGTATTCTGCTACATTTCTTTGATGATCATAACCTGAATCAGTGTTTATCAGGGGCGGACTGACCATTTGGAAACTTGGGCACTGCCCGAGGGCCCGGGGTCAGTAGGGGGCCCATGAGATGCCCCTGGTACCTTTTTTCATAGGCTTTTTTGAGGTTGGGCAAGGACACAGGGGCCCCATGATCCCCTATTGCCCGGGGGCCCATGATTTGTCAGTCCGCCCCTGCCTGGTACCTTTCATTGGCTTTTTCATAGGCTTTTTTGGGTGTGGGCGAGGACACAGGGACCCCATGATCCCCTATTGCCTGGGGGCCCCATGAGTTGTCAGTCCGCCCCTGGTGCTTTATTGTTTAGTCTGTAGGTACAGTGCCTTAAAAAAGTATTCATACCCCTTGAAGTTTTCCATATTTTGTCATATTACAGCCAAAAACATAAATGTATTTTATTGGGATTTTATGTGATAGCCCAACACAAAGTGGCACATAATTGTGAAGTGGAAGGAAAATGATAAATGGTTTTCAAAATTTTTCACAAATAAATATCTGAAAAGTGTGGCGTGCATTTATATTTAGCCCCCCTGAGTCAATACTTTGTAGAACCACCTTTCGCTGCAATTACAGCTGCAAGTCTTTTTTGGGATGTCTCTACCAGCTTTGCACATCTAGAGACTGTTTTTGCCCATTCTTCTTTGCAAAATAGCTCGAGCTCTGTCAGACTGGATGGAGAGCCTCTGTGAACAGTAGTTTTCAAGTCGTTCTAACACATGAAAATGCTTTGATCTAAACCATTCCATTGTAGCTCTGGGCAGGGGCGTACTGACCATTCGAGCACTCGGGCAGTGCCCAAGGGCCCAGGGTCAGTAGAGGGCCCCATGAAATGCCCCTGGTACCTTTTTTGTAGGGTTTTTGTGAGTGTGGGCAAGGACACATGATGTTGGACAAAGGCCTGGCTCGCAGTCTCCGCTCTAATTCATTCCAAAGGTGTTCTGACGGGTTGAGGTCAGAACTCTGTGCAGAACAGTCAAGTTCCTCCAACGCAAACTTGCTCATCCATGTCTTTATGGACCTTGCTTTGTGCACTGGTGCGCAGTCATGTTGGAACAGGAAGTGGCCATCCCCAAACTGTTCCCACAAAGTTGAGCGCATGAAATTAATCAAAATGTCTTTGTATGTTGATGCCTTAAGAGTTCCCTTCACTGGAACTAAGGGGCCAAGCCCAACCCCTGAAAAGCAACCCAGCACTATAATCCCCCCTCCACCAAACTTTACACTTGGCACAATGTAGTCAGGCAAGTACCGTTCTCCTGGCAACTGCCAAGCCCAGACATGTCCATCAGATTGCCAGACAGTGATTTGTCACTCCAGAGAACACATCTCCACTGCTGGAGATGTGCCAAACACTGACCACAGCACCTGTCCAGCCTTTCCCACTACCAGTCCCAATGGCATATAGTGCGGGCTCCAACCTGCACTTGACTTTAACTGTTGACCTTCTGTACCTTTGTACAGGATGGAGACATCTGCAGTGCAGTTCCTTCTTATAGGTGGAATTTCCTCTAGCAATGTTTGGATGTTGTTGGCACTCTCTACGCAGCATTCCATCTCACAGAGCAACTGCTGGGAGATGGAATCACGCGTAGGGAGTTCCAACAACATCTCCTTCATGGCTAGAGGCAATTCCACCTATAACGGGCACATGTTCCAACCGGTTGCTTGATAACTGCTTGATAACTGTACCTTCCATTGCTCGTGGCAACCACATGTATAACTTGCACTAGAATGATTGTTAACTTGCTCACCCCATGTCCTAGTGACCCAAGATGAAGACTAAGTGCAAAGCATTAGCCAAGCTTCATTAGGGCTCATTTACACTTGCTTCGACTTTAACACACATCAAAGCACCTCCCTCTTCAACATGCATTTTTATGTGTTTTTGATGCTTCTGTGATGCTTGGATGATGCTTTGGTGGTGCTTCAGTTATGCTTCGGTGATGCTTTTTTGATGCTTTAATGAAGCTTGGCAAATGCCCTGTGTGTGTTAATTTTTGATTTGCTTTAAAGGTGCCCAGTAGAACCACAGTTCATTAGTACCCCTGTTCAGCAGATCTCTAGCTCATTGGTACCCTTGTTTAGCAGGTCTACAGTTTATTACTACCCTTGTTCACCAGATCCCAGCTCAGTAGTAATCCGCAGCTCTGCTGATCCCTGTTCAGTAGTAACCCCTAGCTCTACTGATCCCCCGCTCAGTAGTAACCCCCAGCTTTGCTGATCTGGTTTGCTGATCCTCCTCTTTCTCTGGTCCCCGCTCACCTTCTGCTATATTGCTGCCATGTTGTGCATCATGTGTGAAATTGCTAGTTTCTCCTGCTACAGTTCCCCAGCTCTGCTGATCCTCCATCACTCAGTCCTCTCTCTCCGGTCCCCACTCACCTTTTGCTATAGTGTTCCCATGTTGCACACCATGTGTGCAGTCTGCTAGTTTCTCCACCCCAGTCAGGACCCTGCTCACCTTCCTGCTGTTCCAAGCTGCACACCAGATGTGACGTCTGCACCAGACACTCCCAGAATATATACACATGAACCAGAAGTAACTGCTGATAATGTCTTCCTGCTTCGCTTACTGGTTCACCAGTGCATCCTGGGATATCCCATGCCTGCAATACCTCCAAAACAAAGCAAAGCTAAAGCTGAATAAGAGCCTCTCAAAAGCTGCAGGTGCTGTAAGCAAGCTTTGTCATAGACTTCTGTGGAGGCTTTGAATCCACTTTGAAGCACCATGAACGAGACAGGGAGTTAAATTTTTGAAGAGAAGTGAAGCGAAGCAAATCAAAGCAAACACAATGTGTAAACAGGACTGTAAGCTTACCATTTTATTTACTGACAGGTGCTTTGATTGGCATTCAGAGCGTTTTAAAAAAGCGTGTCCAATTTCACATTTTCAAGCAAGTATAAAGGAGCTCTTAGAAAGCTTCAAAAAAGCATAACTGAAGCACCACCGAAGCATCATCGAAGCATCACAGAAGCATCAAAAACACATCAAAAAAGCATGTTGAAGTGGTAGGTGCTCTAATGTGTGTTGAAGTAGAAGCAAGTGTAAATGAGACGCAAGAGTTAAAGTGGTATTAAACCCAACAGCAAACATTTATTATATTGCAGCTTACCATTTCTTAGATCTAGTGGCTGCATTAGTTTTCTTTTTTTTTTTAGGCTTTCTTTTCTTTATTTTCACCTGGTGATCTAGCCAATAAGCCTGCTGTTTTTCAAAAGAACAAGTGTTCTGCAAAAGTAGCAGTTACAGGGTTAAGACAAGCCATTTATTACTGACACCTGATCAGCTTTTATTTATTTATGTAAAACTTATATCCCAAAAGAAAAAAAAACCTGTTTGCCGCAACTGCTTATAAATTGTATGCCGGAGTTTGGCTTCAATGTGTTTAGTGTATCCAAAACTGGCTATGCATGAATCAAAATTTGGTCAATTCAGCAGGGATCTGTGGTGGTGTGCTTGTTACTACAGGAAAACTAAACCACTGCATCTATCCACAGATCACTGCTGCCATGGTGACTGCTGTGCATACACATCAGGGTTGGATCTAGGAGAATGCTGGGGTGGGCTTCACCCCCCCCGATTTCAGTCATGCCCTCCAAGGACTAGATATGTTGGTATCAGGATATGGAAGGGCTGGGGTGCAGTGCACAACCTCAGCATGGCTGCACAGTGCCTTGTCCCTATCTGCTGCATGGCATCATTCATTTCCATAGTGATGGCAACTGGCCCATTAAAACGAATGATGTTAATCCAAAATGGGTGTTTGAAAGAGGACGGAGAACCTGTTTCCATGCAGACCTGCTCTTCTTCCTGCTACACTGTAGCTGTGTTAAAGATTTGAAGGGAAGATTAAGGACTAAAGCCTAGTACACACGATCAGAAAATCATATGAATAATACTGCATTTGAATCGATCATACAATATTTTGATCATTATACACAGCTTTCATCCAAAATTATTTGAACAGACAAGCATGAAAATTTACCAGATTGTACAATTTTTGTTTAATAAGTGCAGTTTTCATCTGAAAATACAATACAAATACATTACATCACTTTTCAATTTTTATTCTGTCGTACAAGAATTTTCGTAACTTTAGTAACCTCTTCACTTTTGATATGATACTAGCATACAAACAACAAAAAATGTATGATCATTCATCTGAATATTCTTTTTGTGTGTATGGGGCTTAAGGGCTTAATGTAAATGGGGCTGACTCTGATTTGATGGGCACTGATACTGATGTCAACAAAGGTGAACTCTAATAGGAAGGGGGAAACTCTGACATGACGGGGGTTGACTCTGATGTGAGGGAGGAAACTCTAATAGTGTGCCCTCCTGACTTTTTTTTACTGCACCCCCAGATTAGACTAGATCCAGCCCTGGTGTACAGGGGACAGCACCCTGGAGTGGAGGGTTCTACAAGACTGTGGGTAGAGGACTATGTGGGTTGGTGAGAGGACCTTGCTGAATTTGTGGGTGTCCAGGTCTGTATATCTGAAGGCTCAACATACTGGGAGAGAGAGAGAATATGTATCCAGGACATCTGCTGCTTCATTTGGGGATGCTGTTGCTCTGTTCAGGACTGCTGTCATCACTCTCACAGAACGTAGGAATCAGCCCATGTTTCAAATGACTCTGTTCCAGGCACCCAGGAGAGGGAGGATTCTTCATGCTGGACTTGATTGTGGTGAGAGGCCCTTGGCCATGATCTTTGTCATATTCCTGCTTAACAGGACAACACTACCCCCTTTCTGGGAGGGATAAAGAGGGGCTGTGCCTTTAAAGTCCCTGTGTGTATTTCCCATATTTAGGGCACCCCCTTAAGCTAGGGTTTGAAGGGAATAAACCTTGCCCCTTGAACCAGGCTATTGTGTACCCTATTATACATGGTTCTGATATTATCTTCTTTGTAAGTCATATTATGATATAAAACTGTTTATTGTTCTGTTTTGCCACTGTTTGTTGATGTAGCACTACCCCCATAGGACTTGCTAGAGATTTGGGACCCCTATAGTCCTGCATAGCCAGGCATCACACATTTTCCATTTACACTTGCACCAGGAGACAGAAAACCAGTCCTTGAGCTTTGTTTTGACATTTTATTAGGGATGTAGAACTTGGATGGTGTAAGGGGTGTATGGGATGCCCAAGGGAATGGCAAATGAGGACAAACTTCCTG